AAACATATCTCTAAAAAGTTTTTATAATTGTGTATTTAATTGTGTATTTAATTTAATTGTGTATTTAAGCTATGTGATTCAATGTACTTTTTATCACATCTGAGTTACAACTAAAACTGACCTGAGCAAATCAGTGTTTTGGAAATGCCATTTCAATACATTTAAGTCAGCTCTCTGAATTGGTTCTCATCATGGCAGTCCCTCAGTACTACTGCACTGCCTCAAATCTACCTCAGAGTGAATGGTTTTTATTAAGCACCTCCCTTGCACTACTATGCAAGGTTCTTAGTTATGTTTAATTTGTTTCCATTTGTATCATCTGCTACAAAGAAACCTAAATCTAGTTCTTCATCTTCTAGGAAAACTCTTCCAATAAATTCAAGCTATGGCAACTATCCTTTTACTTATGAGAAATCACTATATTCTTTCTATTAGCACCTGCCAACATTGTTTTACCCTAGCCTCGCTTGCTCAGACAGTCTCAAAAGAGTCACTCAAGCTTTAGTAGCCAAGGATTCATTAGAACAACCCCAACTTTTGGCCTTTTTAATTTTTACAGAGAGACAATACTTGGGTCTGTTAATAACTATGTCCTTTGCCACACTAATAAACATACTATAAAAAATGTATCAAAAAAAACCAAAAAACTTATCTCTAAAAAGTTTTTATAATTGTGTATTTATAAATTTGCCAGTCCACAATTGCTTACTTCTTAGTTTTTACTAGGAATTCAAGATTATAAGCGTTAAAAATCCTAATTAATAGATGTAATTTAAAGCTAATAGAAATAATACAGGAGAAAGAAAATGACTTTATATGAAAAGTAGGAAAGGAAAATAGAATGTGTTTTTTGGACAAGGAAAGAAATGAAGGACATGGGTTTTTGTTAGTAGTGGTGGTGGTGGTGTTTGGTAAGGGAAACAAATAAAGCGATTTCATCCTCAAGTAAAATAATTGTTCCAGAAGGAGGAAAAGAAAAAAAAAAAAAAAAAAGATGGGGCAAAACTGGAAATCTTGAGAAAAGAATTTTATGTATGGTCTAGCTACAAGTGAAATGGATTTATTTAAGTTTAAAAAAAAGTGCTAACATCAAAAGTATACTGGTACAAAATTAGAACTTGGTTTTCTGTTAAAAGGACAGTTTTGTTTTGTTTTGAGTATTGATCAGTTCTTCCTAAGAAATTATAAATAAAACTTTTTCTGTACCTTTAAGGTAATCTATTTATAAAACAAAGATCTGGGTCTTATGAAAATAATTTTGTGTAATTCTTCATCACATCTTGGATTACTTAGAAAAACTGAGTCTTCTCTATTACAAGAGCTCAATTTTTTATAACTGTAGATTTTTATATTTGCCTTTGGAATTTTTTAATTGTTATTCTGGTTGAATGGGTACCTAAGTATTATTTCAGAGTGACCTATGACCCTATTTGACCAAATGTTGTTGGTTTTTTTTTAATTTTTTTTCAACGTTTTTTATTTATTTTTGGGACAGAGAGAGACAGAGCATGAACGGGGGAGGGGCAGAGAGAGAGGGAGACACAGAATCGGAAGCAGGCTCCAGGCTCTGAGCCATCAGCCCAGAGCCCGACGCGGGGCTCGAACTCACGGACCGCGAGATCGTGACCCGGCTGAAGTCGGACGCTCAACCGACTGCGCCACCCAGGCGCCCCTGACCAAATGTTTTAAATCTTTTGACATTTTAAACAAACTTCCCCAAATCGACTTCTAAATAAAGTAAAAAGAGGAATGTTAATTTATGTAGACTTACTTGATATATTAAATTGCATGGGAAACACTGTCAAATAATGTTTTACCTTAGATCATAATTTATGTATAGGATATATTAAATAATTAATTCAAAAATTATTTGAAATTCCTAAATACCTGACATTTCCTGTTATAGTCATAATTCTAGTCATAATTTCAGCTTTTATCTTAAAATATCATATATCATAAAAATAACCAATTTTATTTCTCAATTGCATGTCTGCACGTGTGCATGTGTATGTATGTGTATGAACTCTCACCAGATCTTTAACCATGGCTATTTTTTAATCTTTTTTCACTCTCTGGCAGTGATTGTTTTACTCTGATCTCTCACAAAAGTGTTCCTATAAAAGTGCTTCATTTACAAGGAAATTCATGGAAAAGACTGACAAGTACAGGTTTGTCATAACTTTAAGATCATAACACTGAATGGGTAAGAATTTCAAACTGATACGTAAAGCTGCTGACCTAAGCTGAAGCAAAACAAGAATTATAAGAGACTGAACTGATGAGACGATGATTATAATTTTTTTATGACTTCATTTAAAACACTGCTGGTTCTTAAATGTTTTGTTGTCCGGATTTAAAGGGTCCTGTTTTCTCCTCTCTTCTAAGCTACCTATAGCTTACAGCAGCACTTCAGTAAAATATAATTTTGTAAACAAAGGTTGAAACATGTATATTTTTCTCCCTCCCTGATCCCTCCAGAATTCAGAAATTCATATTGAATATCTTTATTTTTCATGACAATATGTTTTTACATATTTACATATTTACATAAGCTCAACTGACTCTTCTCTTTGTATTAGGACACAATTAGAAACGTCCTAATGTTAGCTTCTTAACCTAAAAAGACTTGAAAAGTTCAATCTAAGATTCCTTATGAAAAGTTCCAGCAGAGCAGATTTAAAAGAGCCTATATGGTCAGTCACTATTCTTGCTGCACTTACGTAAATAATCAGGCCAAATTTTTGAAACTAGACTTAATTTGCAAACAAGCTAGTCTTACCATGGTTATTTTTGATAAAAATAAGAACAATTTTAAAGAGAACAATGTTTCAGTAGTACACCTCTGTGGATATCAGCTTCAAGTGCTGTTAACTGTCCTTGAGGTTTTGTTTTCTCACAAAATGAACTGGATCCTGAATTCTTCTAGTTTCCTCCAATACTTGACTAGAACTCTCCAAACTAACATTTCCAGTTTCCTCCCACTCTTCTTACCTGGAATCACTATGGAAATAAAGTTGCCCTTTTCTCAAAGCCATGCAAGGTAAAGCTGGACAACTGAATATAAACTTCAGAGAAACCACCAAAACAGCTCATGTGAGGCCAGTCCTTGTGTCTGTTGCTCTGTGGTCACGCAGCAAGATACCAGAGACATTCAAGCTGCAAACCAGGAAAATCTGTCAATTGCCACTCTTGCCCTCACTCCATCTGAAGATGCTTTGAACCCAATATTTATAAATTTTCTCAACTGGCTGCCCTCCAAACTCAGTGAATTTGTAATTTCCTTGAACTATTAACCTTTGTTTCTCATTCGTTTCCACAGAAATACTTTTTATTAAATTACCTGACTGCTCACATCATAAAGAGGCCTAATTGGGGTGGAAGTTCATCTGCAACACTGCCTCCTAAAATAAAACATCCTCATGTTCATCCAGTCCTAAGTCATCATGAGGATGTGACTGTTAATACATCATGCTATGCTTTTGTAAATAACTTTTTAAAAATTGCAATCCAGGGGCGCCTGGGTGGCTCAGTCGGTTGAGCGTCCGACTTCAGCTCAGGTCACGATCTCGGGGTCTGCGAGTTCGAGCCCCGCGTCGGGCTCTGGGCTGATGGCTCAGAGCCTGGAGCCTGCTTCCGATTCTGTGTCTCCCTCTCTCTCTGCCCCTCCCCCGTTCATGCTCTGTCTCTCTCTGTCTCAAAAATAAATAAACATTAAAAAAAAAATTGCAATCCATTTGATTTATTTAGTTGGTTAAATCTTGACACCTGGGAATCTGCTCTGGGGAATTTTTCAGTCTTTGGCTATGGTTCTCCTTAAGTCATCATATATACTTCTTTAATATGTTGTCTACTCCTAAGGGTTCTTAAATGCCTGCCAGCAGCCACTCATATGCCAAATGGTATCCATCAGGATCAGATTACCAGAGGAAATAAACAATAAACACATAAATGATGAAGACGGTGACTACACGGCCCTCAGGCTGACTATTCAACGAATGGCAACAACAAATATGTGGTTCTTCAGACTGGGTACATGAGAAGATAATCAAAAGGGGGGAATTGTTAAAATAAAAAACCAACAGAGACCAGCCTTGAAACTTCCCTGGCAAACAAACCAGTTTTGTCATACAAAGCTTAACTTAGCTTATTTTGTAAGACCAACTTCACCTGGAATAATTACTTGTTTACGCCCGTGGAAATCATAAGCACAACTTAACCTGTTTCCCAAAGTTGATATGAGGTAACAACTAACCAATTCCCTATCACTTAAGAAAATGTAAATATTCTTATCACTGTAAAAAAAAAAAAAAAAAATCCTTAGACTTCTTACTTCCCAAGCTGCTTTGTAACAACATAGCCCTGTGCCTAATTCTGTTTTGGCTTGAGTGCTCCTGGTTCCCCAGCTGTTCTTTGGTGGATGCTCAACAAACTTTACTAATTGCTACATCAATGATTCATTGGTTTTCTGCTATTTTTGAACTTTGACAGCAGCCACAGTAAATGTTGTGTGGGGTCACAGCCAGTCATTTATGTTGGAGTAAATACCCTTGAGGTACTACAGGCTAAATCAGAAACACACACCTCCTCACCCCACCAACTGCTTCTTAAAGACGACAGCAATCCTCCACTATGCCTACGTGGCCCCTGTACCGTTCACAATAAATGGTGGTTGCCAATAAACAGACTTTGGTAACCAAACTTCCTGCATGGGAAAGGCTGGAGATAAAAAGGAGTAGAAAGTCCAAGATGCCCCTAAAGGCCCGAGTTCCACTAGAGATGGGCGAGGATTAACTCCCTTTTCTCTCCTGCACAGTATATTGGTGAAAGGAAGTGATCCGCGATAGACTGCCCTCGCCCTCAGTAAGGAAAAAGAAAAGATTAGCCCTTTGAAAGCCGAATTACCCCAGATCCTCTCCCACCCATCCACCCTCCACCCCTTCCACCCTCCAGCCCCTCCACCCGCACCCCCACCCCCACCCCCTGCTTCTTAGGTCTCCGACCTCAAAGAGCCCAGCTCAGGAACAGTAGGATTTCAGCCGCTCTCCAAAGAAAACCTCCCCCTACCAAGCTTCCCTTTTTCTCCAGCTGGGAGCATTCGCCCTCCGGTTTGGTCTCCTCAACCAATTGCAAGTAACACTCTTCTCTAATTGGTGAAGGGGTGTGGCCACCATTTGTATCACCGAACAAGACTATGGATGATTGGTTGCTATTGAGAGGGTTTCGCCCGGGAACCCTCTTGC